TATAAATAAACTCAACTGAACTGAACTGAACTATCAGTCTTGGTTCATTGTAGAATGGGAACATAATGGATGCACGATTTACAGGTAGTAATATATATGCAAACAATGAAAATATCAATAGAAAAAAAGAGCATCACATTTGATGAATGTGAATACAGAGAGAAACCTTGTGTTAGATGTTTTATCACTGGATTTTCATTGTGCCCCCAAAAGCTAAAATGAACACTTACTTCAAATTGTTCAAAACTTAATGATCAAGTCAGATCATTTTTCCATATTTAGTGACAATGCACTAAAGCAACCAATAATTTTGTTAACTAATTTATATTACAATAAAACATTTCAAAAGTTGAATTTCCTTTTCAAACTATGATATTTTTATCAAAGTTTCCAAACCATAAATTCCCATAAAGATTTTTGAATTAGTTCTGTATATGATAATTGCTGCAAACATATTTTATGTTTTTTATTGGAAAGGATACTTGATCCCATTTCCAGAAGTATCACTATTTAAGTTGTAGGAAATCATGTGAAAAGCAATAAAATAAAACATACTCTGAATTTCTGGGAATTTCATCATTAGGAGTATGGCCCAACGCAGAGTATTTGAAGTAGTTTCTGTACCAGCAGCAAATAAATTACTCACAACACTTCTAAAGTTTTCAAAGTGGAAATATCCCTCAGTAGTCCTCTTCTTCTCCTAAGAAAAAACACCAGCAAGGAAACTTAGTGTATTGATGTGATGTAAATTCCAGATGGCTGAGAGGCTACTTCTTGAATGGATAATATATTGCCCGTCAGGACAAAGGGTGAGTGATGGAGAAGATCTTTAAAAATCTTGGCAGTAGCACCTCATAAGGGCACCTTTCCAGGGTTACAGGAGAAGACGGTCAACAGTTTTGAAGGCGGAAGAGGGCTCTACGCCACAACGGCAGATAAAGCGGCAGAACCATCTTCTAGGAGAAAGGAAACTCTGATTACAAACCTCCACTGCCTTGTGGCTATTTCCACTACTGGAAAAGGCTTCAGGAGTCAACCTCGAGACAAAATCTGGAGCCGGAATCCCAGAAGCAGTTTGTGACCGTGTACACGTTCTGATAACTCCTACAACGCAGCTGGAACCAATTGCATCGGCTCTGCCATTCCATTGGACTATTTCAGCGATGTAAAGAGGGTGGATCTGCTGCTTGGGTAACTGTCTATCCTCCATATTAATCTACCCAGGCCTCGTGCTGGAGAGGACACTCCAACTTTGACCTCTTTCCAGAACACGTTACTATAGTCTTTTGAGATTGAAGGATGTCAGGGCAATACAAATATATTACTCTCCAAATCTGCTTCCTTTTACAAAATGATAAAGGGCTATTGAAGTTGTAATCCCAAAACAAATTGAGAGATATGATGTTTCAAACATTAACTGGAATAAAAAAATTGTGAAGCTCTAGAAAAGTCATATTTTTAAAGGCAAAAATGTTCACATACTGCACTGAAGGGTTGACCCTAAGAATCCCCCAATGGAAATTCCTTGGAGCCATCCAGAATAGACCCTATCGTTCTGTATTGAGGATATTTTAATGGGGAAATTTAATTGGGTTTGACTTTAGTGCTGCAGACCGTAAAACAAGAAAATGAAGCAAGAATGAAACTGCCAGAAATTAGTTTTTTCTACTTTCCTAAAGCAAGGGTCTTAAACAACCTGCATGAAGTACCTTTTTTAAAATATGTAAAAACAGATATCACTAATCAGAGACATTTATAAATGATCCATTACCTCTCTATGCCGAACAAGAAATGAATCAATAAAGCTCCTCTGGTCATTTTCATCAAGATCATTGAGATGTTCTATAAAAGCGTCCTGTAGGAAAGTATGGAGTTCCTTTCTATTGTTCAGTCTTTTCTTACGAGAACCCAAAAGGAGCGCCAACTTGGGAAACATATTAAATATCTGAAACAATAATAGAAGGAAAATATATTAAGGAATTTGAAAACTTTGAGTTCATTTCTCAGGAGGATATCGAGTGAATACATGTGGTCTATATGTCTATAAAAATAAATCACAGTAATAAAAAACACATGATTGAGAGAGAACTATGGATAGTCAGTATTTCTAATTCATTGAGGCCCAAATCCCAAGGACTGAAATTCCACACAGTTATTGGAAGAGGAAATGCGTATTTTTAAACATACTATTGAATGAGCTACTCTTGCTCATATCCTTTTGATTCCCCAACAAGCAATGGGAATGTTCCAGGGATGTGCAGTCAGGGGAGGCAGAGCTTCACCACTGTCACCATGAAAAGGAAAAAAAAATGTAAAAGGAAAAAGGCAAGAGCTGAGGTCAGGCTGAGCTACTGCTGCCAGAGTCACAGTGGATGACTCTGCTTAACTGTTTAAAAAAGGCTCTAAAAAGCGCCCTCTACAGGAGGAGGCAGGAGAA